CGGCCGTAGCAACCGTCGAGACGATCGGCAGCTGGCTCGCGCCGACGCCCACCAGCCCAAGACGCGCAGCAAGGCCTCCGCATCGCGGACATTCTGGACGTGTGCGATCCATTGCGGACGCTGTGCGGGTCGGAGACGTGCATCAACGAGTCCGGCGACGAATTCTTGCGCGGCACGGTGGAAAACGTCCTTCTGCACAAGGCGCGCATGGCGGCCACCGTCGGCCGCGACGTCCACCTCGCGCACACGGCGTAGCTTATTAGTTAGGCACCACGTATTAATCCTTTTGTAAGATATCCTTTTCCGTGGTGATGTCATGGTGTGCAACTAGCGTAGCAGACCATAACAGCACTTACCACGACGCATATCGTAGAGATACAAAGAGAAAAACCACTGCTTGTCATCGGAGCTGCCAACACCGCACTCGCATTTGTATTGACCGAATATCCACGCGAGTCGACGCAAGGCGAGCTTAGCCCGTGGTCGGGTGACGTCCAGCCGCCATGGCGCCGACGCATCCGAGCGCGCAGCTGATGGCGACGAGGCTTACAAGACCTAGCACCGAGCTCCAGTGCAGCGTGGCGTAGAAGAGCTTGAGGTAGCAGGCGCACGGAATGACGACGACGACGGCCATTGCAAACACGGCCCCTACAACCAGCCGTTAGATATTGACCCTTTGCTCGATAGTGCTACCGAGGAGCGACGTCATCTGGACAAAGTTCGGGACCAGCAGCGCGGTCGCAAAGATGCACAGCGCCAACGCCGTACGAAGAAAGCAGCGCTGCAGATACCGCGTCCGAGGCGACGCCGCATGCGTCAGCGGCGCGAGAAGCTCTTCGAGCGAGAGAGCGATCGGGTGCAGCACACTACGAGCACGTATAGTAGTTGCGTTGGTCGATTCCTTCAAGCGATGTCTTACATGGCAAACTTGGTGCACGGGTTCAGTACGATCATCCACATGACGGCGTTCGCAGCCCAGCCCGGGTTGTGCGCCAACAGACTCAGCGTAATCTAGGATGATATGCCAGAATCATGTCGAGAGGCGAGCGCTCTACCTCTTTCTCGGTGGCGTCGCCATACATGACGTAGCCCGCGACGGCCAAAGCAGCGTACACGGCGCCAATCACAGTGTACGCGACGTGGAGAACGCTGCTGTACTGCGCCGGGTCGTCCATCGTCGAGTAGATGGACGGGAAGACCGCGTGGCCAGCAAAGCCCACCTACATCGCGGTCCTTAGAGAAGCCTACATCGAGTGATCCCACCAGCGTGAGCCCAATGCTGAGCGCCCACGCGTCGTCGTCGGCGACCCAGCGCGTCGGCGCGTCGCGGTAGATGCTGCCGAGCTCGCCATGCGGCGTCGTAAGTCCCACGTTGAGCAGGAGGAGGAGCAGCGCAAGCGAAGAGAGCACGCCGAGGAGGCTCGCGCTCGAGAGAATCGCCAAGTTGGGCAGCCACGTCGACGGAAGAATGCACGCAAAGACGATCGCCAACAGCGCCGACGGCGCCATGGACGGAAACAACATGTGCAAGCTGTCGGTGACTACGCATGACGTGGCAGCATGTAAGACTGGCGAGGCGCATCGCACGGCGACGGACCGAGAATGAGAAACATCGTGCACGCAATGAAGAGCTCGATAAAGCAGACAATGGACGCGACGCGACGACCCCAGAGGCCAAATGCAGCATTGACAACGTCCGGGTACGACTAGCACAGTTTATCGTCCATCCAAATGCAGGTAGTACACGCACTCGAAGGCGGGCGTCCGACGCCAAGCACGCGCCAAGAAGGTGGCCTGTCAGATTCGCAACGAGACCCATGCCAATCAAAAGACCCAGACCGAGCATGAGCCCCGCAACCCGCAACGAGTAGGGCAGCGAGAGCACGCCGACACCCATGAGCACATTGATGACGTTGAGTGTCGCGCCCCAAAAGCTACTGCAGTCGCCAACTTCCCTCGGCGAGAGTAGCAGGGGCGACGACTCAGTGGGAAGGACCGGTGACCGGTGAAGGAGCGTGCGAAAGTCGGGCGAGTTCGCGCTACACCAAGTCGAGTTCGTACAGCAGGAGCAGGATGATGACGCCATCGCACCGGACAGTGACGCCTTCGTGGAAGGTCGTGGGCCACGCCGACGCGTATGCGACGGACGAGAGGCGGCGCTCACGAGGCGAGCCTTGGCCACGCGTGCTGCTAGGGCGGCTACAGCCCGCAGACAACGGTCGCTGCTTGGTTGGCATCGCGAAATCTAGAAAATCATTCGGAAAGTAGCTTGACCGCGAGCAATCGATCGATCATCTATCTTTGAAGGAATGTCGTGTTGTACACCAAACCAAGCTGATTGATATTAAGGACTATCGAGGGCCATGCAGGTCCTCGACGCAATCGTCGGCGTCTGGAGCAGCGCGCCGCGTCCGTGGCGGCGCCGGTTGAAGATCGCCATTTGCGTCAACCTCTCTGAATTGATATTATAAGTTGAAGAGGTGGCCAGGTTGCTCAAAAAGGGGGCCCGACTTCCATTCACTTGTCCGTTTGCGTCAAAAGAGGGGGTTCTGCATGGACGCAGACCGGACTTATCCGAGCCTCGCTGCGGCGACCAAGGCCGCCAAGGAGTATGCGTCGGCCAAGTTCCCGTCGACCGAGGTCATGGTCGACCGTACCTTTAAGCAGGCGCATGCGAAGCGCCTCGTCTGCCGCCACCGCGGGCGCTTCTGCGGCTGGAAGATGGACATCCTGCCGCAGGGCGACGCCTGGAAGTTTGTCGTCGTCGATCCGCTGCACTCGTCGAGCTGCGACCTCATCCGCCAGAAAAAGACCATCGACGTTGACACTATGGCGCCGCCTGCGCCGTTCGTGCCCATGATGACGCCGAGCTTTGCGCCCAAGAAGCCGTCGGTGCCGGGCGCGACGACGCCCATGATTGCGCACGCGGACGCGCTCGGCGGCCGGCCGACGTTTGCGCTCACGCATGAGATGCGCTGGTTCAGCGCGAAAGACGCGTCGAGGTCCGTGAACGACTATGCGTTCTTTGTGCAGAAGAAGCGGGCGCGCATGGACAAGAAGACCAGCGGCGGGCGCAACAAAAAGTACGTCTGCTCCTCCGACGCGTGCGACTGGTACGTGCGCCTCCTCAAAGCGCCCAAGACCGAGAGCTGGAAGATCTCGTCCATGAACCTCGTGCATGCGCCGGCGTGCACGGGCGTCGCGCAGCCGTCGGCGCGGCAGCTCGCGGAGATGGCGTCGTTCCGCCAAGCCGTCGTGACCCACGGCAAGCAGCACGGCAAGCTGCTCACGGACGAATTCCTCTCGTCGACCGAAGATGGCATCAAGATCCCGCTCCGATTGGCGTACCGCGCCAAGCAGATGATCGTCGTGCACTCGAAAGACGATGTGGTCGAGTCGTACAAGTTTCTACCCTCGCTCTTGACCATGTTTGTGGCCAAGAACCCGGGCTCGATCGCCGACTACGACCGCGACGCCGACCACCACTTTGTGCGGGCGTTCGTCATGCCACACGCGTCGCTCCAGGCCATGCCGGCGCTCCAGCGCATCCTCGGCATCGATGTCGTGCCCTTTGGTCGCCCCGAGTACTCGGGCGCGATGCTGCTTCTACTTGGGCGCGACGGGAACCTCCAGTCGCACGTGCTCGCGGTCGGGCTTGTGCCGGCGCCGACGCTCGAGCACGCCGCGTGGTTTCTGCAGCGGATCCAGCAAGGCATCTCGCTCACGCACTTGCCGATCTACGTGCCGATCACGCATCTTGGCATTGCGGACGCGATCGAAGCGACCGGTGCCAAGGTGCAGTACTGCATGAGCAGTCTCTTCGAGTGCATGGGCAACGACAAGCATATCTCCAAGCTCGGCGCTGTCGAGCTCCTCATCTGGGATCTGCACCGGCAAGAGACGGAGCAAGGGTTCCAAGCCGCGCTCTCGCAGCTCGAGAGCGTCAACCCCGCGGCCGCGCTCTTCTTGCGCAGTCAGAACCCGCTGCACTGGGCGATGCACGCCAACCGCCACACGAAACTCTACCAGTGGTCGACCACGTCGTTCAGCTCGGAGCTCCACGGCCCGAGCAGCGAAAGTGTCGACGAAGCGCCGTTCGATATCCTCTACAGCTACCTCGCGCGCCTCATGGACGACGTCTTCCAGAAGAGCCAGACCGCCGCCAAGCTCGCGACCGAGAACGCCGTCTTGACGCCTGGCGCGCAAGAGCTCTACGCGTGCGAGATGCAAGAGGCCGTCGGCTTCACGACGCGGCCGTGCGACGAGACGCTGGCGTTTGTGTGGAAGACGGGGTCGCGCCCCAAGGTGACCCACCGCGTGCACCTCTCGGACCTCTCGTGCTCGTGCGGGCTCATGCCTCAAGTCGGGATTCCGTGCCGCCACTTTATCGCGGCCGCGCGCCACTTTGGCCGCGAGGGCCTCGTCGTCAACGCCTTCGACCCGATCTACAAGGCGAGCACATACGCGATGGTGTTCCACAAGATGCGGATTGAGATTCCGCTCGAGAACGACTTGGCGAAAGACGAGACGCTGCTGCCAGTGCAGGCCGAGATGAAACCCAAGGCGGCCAAGAAGCCACGCAAGAAGAAGAGTCCGACGAACGAGACGAGTGCTGCGATCGCGTCGTGCTTGGACGACGACCAAGAAATGATGTCGGCGATGGCCATGGGCACGCTCGGCATGCCCAACCACCACCACCACGGTATCGAGGCCGTCTACCATCCGGCGCATCATGGTGTCGCGCAGCCATCGCTCCAGCAAGTCAACGCGGACTATATGCACCACATGCACCATCTCAATACGGCCCATCTAATCTAATTCGTCTTCTTTCGACGAATTGACAGAGCGAGAAAGGATGACGATGGACTTTTTCTTAGTGCTTGGCCTTCTTGCGCTGCGTCTGGAGCGCCGCGAGGGCCTTGCGCTTCATCGCAATGCGGTGCGTGTGCACGGACGTCTTGGCCGGCTTGGCCTTCTGCGACAGCACGTGGAGCTTCTTCTTGGCCGCGACCGAGATGCCATAGTTCTTGTCGAGCACGAGCTGAACGTCCTTGCCCTCGACGTGCGTGGACCGGCGGTGCTTGGCGAGGCGGCCGCTGGCCTCGGTCACGCTCGCGACAAAGTCCGAGGCCATGTCTAGCAGCAGCTCCTCGACGCCCGGCTGCAGCACGAAGCGCGGCTCGACCTCGGCGAGGATCTTCTGCAGCGACTCGTTCGGGTTGAGCGCATGGGCCACCGCGTTGTGGACCTTGCGGGACATGCTCGAAATAAAATACAGAAAGTCACTGCACAACAAATAAAACCGCATCCGGATACACTCCCCGTCGCTCGTCCCAATCCGCCAATCACACTCAAACAAGCAAGGCTACATGTACGCAACTTTAGATCTTGTCGGCGAGCCCTTCGCACGCCGACAACGCTTGTGCTGCTTGTACATGAGGCAGCACAACATCCAAGGTCGCAAAGGACTCGAGTTCAAGTCCAAGACAGTTCTACTCGCACTACGTAGTCATATCCGAGTATTAATGCAGAACAGCTCATGATGTTTTACGAGCCAACCCGTTTGTCGTTAGGTTGGTGCGTTGTCGCTAGACCTTTACGTACTGGAGGAACCAAGATCCTCCTCGGCGACTCGTGCTATCACTCTACCCTTTCAATGGTTTCGAGGGCTACAGCGTGTGGAATGCTACCTGCTCAAGTGCGCGTGCAGTGGGCATTGTTGAAGTGCATGGTGGCCGACGCGAAATGGGGTGTTTTTAGTTTGTTCTTATCCGGAGGACCGCGCCGTGATTGGCCGTGGCACGACCATTCTTGACACGATGGCCAAGGGCGCGGAAGAACTCAAGCCGTCGGACGTGCTCGTCGAGCACCTCATGGCTGCGGGTGCCCAAGGTGACGGCGAAGACGATGGCCTTGGCGCGCTGCTCCTCGAGGTCGTCAAGTCGGGCGACCTGGACCAGCTGCGCACGGCGTTGTCGCCCGCGTCGCCGGCCGAGAGCTTGGTTGCCCTCATGAACTGGTTGCACAAGTGGCAGCAAGAGTATCAATGCGTCATGGAGTCGCTCACAACGTACCTCGAGTCGGCCGAAGACAACGAAGACCTCGAGGACCACGCGGCCGAAATGAAGGAGATGGACGTCGAGGCGCAAGAGATCCTCGCCGGCTTCGAGAAACTCGCACTCGCCCTTGTCGCGCAGTGCCCGGACCAGGTGGACGCGATGGACGACCTTGGATGGACGCTACTCATGCAAGCTGCCAACTGCGGGTCGCTGAGCTTGGTGAGCGCGCTCCTGGCCGCCGGCGCAGATCGTAACGTGCGCCAGCACCACCAGACCGATGGCATGCACGCCCTCGCCCGCGCGATCGACGCCTGCCACGTCGACGTCGTCCAAGTGCTCGTGACGCCTGAAACGATCAACGCGACCTTTGCGTACAAGAACGTGGATGACGAAGACGCCGACGTCGAACAGCACACGCCGCTAACGTTCGCGTGCCACGGCAAGGACGACATTGCGGCCTTCCTGCTCACGCACGAAGCCCTCGACATCAACGCGCACGTGCCCGAGACTGGCGACACGGCGCTCCACATCGCCGTCTGCTACGACAACGTCGAACTGGTCTCGAAGCTCCTAGCCAAGGACGGCCTCGACATCAACGCGGTCAACGAGCAAGGCTACACGGCCGCGTTTGGGTGCTCGAACCCAGACCTCGTCGCCCTTCTCTTGGCCAACGGTCTCGACGCTGGCATTCTCGGCAACGAAGGCGAGACCGCACTGGACCTCGCGCTGGCGCTTCAGGACGAAGATGTCGCCGCCGTGCTCGCCGAGCACACCGAGTCGTCGTCGAATCAGTCCAGTTGATTATCTTAGAAATGTTGCTTGATTGGAAACTTGTATGGGAAAGGCCACATTGCATTTGGGGAAGTGCAAAGCGGCCTTTGGTTCTGAAGAGACCGACGCATCTACGGCCGTATCTTGCATAAAAGGTGAGCTGGGTGGCGCTTGCAGTAGTAGCCCGCCGGACAAGCCACCGCTGGCGCCTGCATGGTGAGGATTCTTCTCAAAGCAAGTCGCCATGAATCTCGCAGGCCCACACCGGCCACATCACGCTCCAGCACGTCCATTCCAGCTGGCACGTCGATGCATCATGATGGGTACACTGCATTGTCCTTTGTTTGCGCCCCGTCGCTCAATGCTGATGCCTTGTCGAAGGCTCCTTTGGATACATCGCAAGGAAGCCTTCGTCCTTCTTGAGGAGCGCGTGTCCTTCTCGTGCTCTTCTTGCATCCATGTGCGATACATCCGCTGCATTCAGGACCGATCCTCCAAATTGACTCGGCGGATTGTCAAGTGGCGACTCAGTTCTCTGTCGCATCCCCTGCGCTTTCAAGCATCAATATGGGCATCATTCCATAGCATACAGCGTGGCGCGTGCAGCACAGGTATATGTACTGCTTGGTTATACTGCTGCCGTCGCCGCGATCCTTGCTCGGTCCACGCTTCCGCCGGCGCCAGGTGGCGCTGCGACATGCCGACCTTCAACGCCCGAAACCCTCTTGACGGAGTTCGCACACGTGTGAAATGCAGACCAAGAAGTTTTTGGAGCGTAGAATGGATGGTGAAATATGTGAGAAACAGAAAAACTTCGATCTTCACGCGTGGGAAATGCTGGCGTGGCTGGCTGGTCCGCTGTCATTCTCGCACTTGCCACGCCCGCCTTAGCCCGCTCGCCGCATCGTCTTGACCGTCGCCCTGTATGCTGTGTGAGTGGAAGAAATGGAAGTCCTACTCCTCTCGTTTCTTCTGATCCTTGTCATCGGCTCCTTCTTCCTCGAAGGAACCTCGCAAACGTTCATCTCGCAGAGCGGGATCGCGCTCCTATTTGGCGTCTTCGCCGGCGGCTGCCTCGTCGTCGCCGAAACTACAGCTACGACGAGCACCTCAACTTCAACAACAACGTCTTCTTTGAAGTGCTGCTGCCGCCCATCATCTACGAAGCCGGCTTCTCGGTCAAGCGCGTCCACTTCTTCTCGAACCTCGGCGCAATCATGTCGACCGCGATCGTGGGCACGCTCATCGCGACCGGCGTCACGGGCGGCGCCATCTACGTCGGCGGCCTCTACGGCGTCATCACGCCTCTGAGCTGGATCGAGTCGTTCCTCTTTGGCGCGCTCATCTCGGCGGTCGACCCCGTCGCGACGCTCGCGTGCTTTGAGAAGCTCAACGCGCCGCCGCTCCTCTTTAACATTGTCTTTGGCGAGAGCCTCCTAAACGATGCGGTCGTCATTGCTTTGTACCAAACGCTCTCCAAGTGGAAGCCGGACGCGACCTTCTCGGCTTCGGGCCTTGGCTCGGTGCTTGGCTCGACGCTCGCGATGCTTGGCGGGTCGCTTGTCGTGAGCGCCGCCATTACGCTCGCCGGAGCGTTCCTCATGAACCGCGACCTCTTTAGCCGACTGCACCTCTTCCCCGCGTACGAGATCTCGCTCTGCTTGATCTTTAGCTTGCTCACGTACTATGCGGCCGAGAGCCTCCACCTCTCGGGGATTGTCGCGCTCTTCTTTTCGGGGATTCTCACGGCGCACTACCACTTCCACACGCTGTCGCTGCCCGGCCAGCAGTCGTTCCGGCACCTCCTCCACACGTTTGCGTTTGTCTGCGAGACCTTGGTCTTTGTCTTTATGGGCACGTCGCTTGTGTTTGTCTTTGCCGGGCACACGGACGACGGGATGACGTGGCATGACATTGACTGGACGTTCATCGGCTTCACACTGGGCTTTCTGCTCCTAAGTCGGCTCCTCAACATCGTACCGCTCCTCGCGGTCTCGAACCTCTGGCGCCGCGCCCACGAGCGCATCTCGCCCACGACCATGTTTGTCATTTGGTTTGCCGGTCTCCGCGGCGCGATCTCGTTTGCGCTCGTCAAGACGTGGACGTTCGTCGATGCTGACGGCACATCGCACCGCCCACTCATTGTGTCGACGACGCTCATCATTGTGGTCTTTACGACGCTCGTGCTCGGCGGGCTCACGGGCCCGCTCCTCGCTGCGCTCGGCCACAAGCCGCATGCCAACGCCGAGACGGCACCGGGCAGCCCGATCTCGCGGCCGTCGTTTAGCTTTCTCCAGTCGATCGACGACGATGCGCATAATACGGCGAGCCAGCTGCGCCAGCGCCGCCCCGCGCACGACGCCCTCGTCGAGCCCGAGGACGGGTCGATCGCCAAGAAGGTCGCGACCAAGTGGAACAGCGTCGACTCGCGCTACTTGCAACCGCTCTTTGGCGGCCAGCAGCTGGTCGCATCCCGCGTCGAGGCCTCGATCGCCGCCAGCGGCGTCTACAGCTTTGTCGAGACGCCGACGGGCCATGACCGCACCAACTAGCGTGTGTGGCCGTAGTACTACATGTAACAATGCATCGAATTTGACATGAACGCATTGGAAGGCAAATGGAGCAGCATTCCTATATCCTGCCACGCCGGCTGCAGACGCCGAGACTACATTGCCACAGTCCTGGTCGCGCAGCGGAGCCCTAAGCGACTCCTCTACAACCTTGAACGTACCGGTAGGTAGCCAGCTATCGACGCAGCATCAGAACAAGTCGGTGCTGCTCGCTCTGTGTTTGTAGGCAAACACCGAGCCACGCGTGTGGGTGATTGTGACGTGGGCTTCAACTTGAAGTCGGCGACATAATCCCGCGCGGAAGCGACCAGAAACGAGCCAATCATGGGTCGCAATCAGTGTGGTGCCACGTCACGAGCCGGAAAAGTTTGTCCTCAGCGATCGCTTGAGCACCAGATGCTGCTAACATTATTATATATCTTGTCTTGTCCATGTCTTTGTCCACAGTATATGCTCTCTGCCTTTTGCCCAACCACTTGCATCACGAACACAAGAAAACGTATTTTCTTGAGCCAAGTGCGGGGCCTACAAGAGGTTCCAGGACCGCAGCCACTCCGAGAGGTACGCAGCATGGGCTTGCTTGGCGGCATGGCGCGCCGACGCCGCCCGATAGCAGCGCTACGCAACGCTTACGACGACGTCACCCACGAGGCACGTATGTAGTACCTGGATACGCCGGGAGGCCACATGCTCCTCGTCCGGTCGGTTGGCAAAGTAGACGCGCAGCGTGTACTCGACGAGGCTGGGCGTCACGAGCGGCGTCGACTCGCTTGAGAACGGACCGGTCCCAACACTATTGATAGCGGCAACGCGGAAGACGTAATTTGTCTTGGGCTTGAGAAAGTCGAGGCGCAAGTCGAGATGTAAGCGGGGCACGCGCAGCGAGATGCACTCATTGCCATCCATCGCATACTCGAGTACGTAGCCGACGAGTGGAGAGCCGCCATTGTGCACCGGCGCTCGCCAATGCAGGCGCGCGCACGTGGGCTGCACTTCGTCCAGTGTTGGCGCCTACCAAAGAAGAGCTGTTGATGACTTTAATGCAAGGCGGCGAGCGACCTCGGGCACGGGCGCCGGAACGACCGCCGTCTTGGTCCGCAACGGCATGCTCCAGACGCTGTAGTCGCCGAGACCGAGCGCGTTCTCGGCTGCGATGCGCACAACGTGTGTCGTCGCCGCGTCGAGCTCGATCAATTCGATGTTGAAAGCCTTTGGATCGTGCCAGACATACGAACGCACCACGCGGTGCGAGACGACGCCAAAGGCCGTCTCTTGCGCGCAGAGTGTCGCGTGGTAGGCCACAATCGGTCGCCTACAAAGAAGACAACTTGTCCACAACGAACTAGCGCAAACGATTCGCAGACCCGTTGCCACACGGCGCCGAGAACTCTACGTGCATCGAGTGCGATGTCGGGTGCTGCAAAAGGGGTTGGGCGACGGCACTGGGCGTCGTCGGGAGCGTCGTGACCGTCTCCGACCACGGCGACCACTCGGACGTGCGCACCTTCTTGTCGATGACGTTGGACGCGCGCAAACGAGCGCACACGTCCTACGTGGCATCTGCCGCCACGGAAAAATGACCCAAGTCCAACCTTGCCGGGGTGGAGCGGACTCAGAGTGTACTGGGGCGTTGCCAGTGTCCGAGCGAGCACATCAAGGCTCGTCGTGTCGCCGTCCTGGCGCCATTCTAGTGTGTACTGAACGACGGCGCTGCCGTTGGCGCGCGGTGGCTGCCAATGGAGCTGGACCGTCGTCGGCGTAATGTGCGAGAGCGTCGGCTGGTCCGGTGCGTTGGGCTCTAACGACCACAACTAAAAGCACGAATCAACGTGTCGGGTGCATGTACCGCACGACTCGGTTTTGATATACATGGACGGGATCGAAAAGTCGGCGACACCACACCTAGACTCGAATGGGAGATGATCCAGCGTCTCGTTCACACGCGCACCGGTTTGCGGCCGCGAGCTGGAACTGGTAGATCGTGCCGGGCAAGACGCACGTGAGCGTGTACTTGAGCAGCGCCGTGGGCACCGCTTTCTCTTCCTACAAAACGCCACGTCGAATGCGTTGGGTGACAAGGCACGTGCACCTGCCGACGCTGCCTCTCGAGACGCGCACGCGCTTGGAGCTGCAATTTCACGCTTTTTTCAAGCGCTTTTTTCGAGTTGAGGCGCTTGGCGCGCTCGGCGTCGCGCTCGGCGCGCTCTTCGAGCTTGCGCACAAAGGCTATCCGTGCGTGATGCGTGCAGCTCGAGACATGAGGGCCGTTCGCACCGGCTTCGGCGGCCTCTTTGGCGGCGCGGCTCTGGCCCGCAATCGCATCCTCGGGAATGACAACGCTAATGACATCGTCGTCGCCGAGCGTGTCCTCTGGTATGCAGCGAAAATGGTAGTGTGAGATCGGCGTTCCGTTTGCCTGCGGCGGCAGCCACTCGAGCACGACGCTGTGGGTGGCGACGCTGCGAATGGCGCACGGTTTCTGGACCTTGGACGGACCTACTTAGCCATCAGACATCGTAAATGGGACGCATCGAGGTGCCGCACGAAACGCCAGAGTCTCGACCGGCGGTGAGCTCTCGCTAAAGGCACCGAGCCCCACCTACGCAAGGTCGTCAGTCAATCCGATATCAATCAGGTCCAGTCACTACGGACATGATTACGCGCGGCGATCTTGAACGCATAGACAGTGCCCGGATCCAAGGCGTCCATGCAACGGACCGTCACATCGGCCGACACTTGTATCGGTGCTTCGAACGGACCATCGTCACGGGACGTGCGTATCTCATACTGCAGAACCGGTGCCCCGTTGCCCTAGTCCCAGGCTCGGAGAGCTGTATCAACTTGATAGATTGTACAAGTGGCTCGAGCCAAGCAATCTCGATCGCATGGCAGTGCGCGGCGATGATCGTCGGCGGTCGCGGCGCGTCGGGCACTACGCATTCCGCGGTCGCCCATCCCGTCGTTTGGAGAGAAGAGAGTACCGGTGGGCACGATTTGCCACTTGATGACGCGCGTATCCAGCGACGACGAGTACAAGGCGTGCCGCGACGGCGTAAACGTCAGCGACACGACCGAGTCGTAGTGCCCGAGGAGCGTGTACAAAACCGACATGTCAAATGCGTTCCAGAGCTTTACACTGGCGTCGGCGCTACCGGTTGCGAGAAACAGGACGCTGCTATCATAAGGGTGCGCGGCGAGCGCGCAGCACAAGATCGGGTGCGCGTGTGCGTCGCGCGTCGTCGCCTCGTGCTCTCCTGTCTTGGCGTGCCAGCGCTATCGCTGGCGGATGACACATCGCGCGGGATGTCCACGAAGCGTACCTTGATCGCGCGGTCGGACGCGACCGAAATGACAAAGTCGCCGGAAGGCGATACCGCGAGCCCGTTGATCGTGTGCGAGTGCTGCACGTACTCGCCGCCGTCGCCCGCATGCAAGCGTCGATGCTCAAAGCAGATGGAGGCGACGCGGCTGTGCATCGTGTTGGCAACGACCTCGCAGTGCGGGTGCCGCGCCGACGTCGTCGGGTTCAAAAGAGACAGAATGTCCATGTGCTCGACCGCCGAGAGCTTGACCGGGTCGTCGTCGTCTTCGCGAACGTCGACGGTGGCCGCGTCGACCTCATACGCGTGGAGTGGCGGCAAGCGCAGCGACGACGGCGGTCGGTGAAAGCACCAGTCGTCGTTGAACGCGAATTCGGGGATGTGGTTCTCCAGCGTCAGTGTCTCGAGCGTCGTGCTTGGTGAGAAGAGCGCGTCGAGCGCGCGGTTGTACTTTTGCCGGTCGCTCCACAGCGCCGTCGGGTGCACGATGCGTGCGAAGCCGAACACGCTCGATCGACTCTCCATTTGCATCCACGTGGCGGCCTCGAACGGCGTCGCACGCGGTACACTATTTTGTGCGTCCTCTGCAAAGCGGTCGTTGGCCTCGAGGAGGAGACTCTCTGTCGTGGTTGACGGCGGCGCTGGACGAACCGTCGCAGGCAGTGAAGGCTCGATGGGCCCGTCGCAGAGTGTCTCGGAACTCTTCGAGTGCAAGTGGCGTTTGGAACTCTGTGCATCGATGCTACAGCTTGGTGGTGCAGAATCTACATGTCCATCGACTTTGCATCTTTGCATCGCCGATCCTCGCAAGGCGACGATGGCGTGGCGCCCAGCGTGTAGAGGGAGACGTCCCAGCGCTTGATGCTCATATCGAGCGCGCCGGCGGTGAAGAGGTACGCGTCGTTGACGCCAAAGTGACACGTCGCGACGCCGCCAGCGTGGGCGTTCAAGATCTGGAGGACTTGAAGCGACATGGGATCCCATAGAACGCACGTCGTGTCGAGCGAGCCCGTGACAAAGACGTTGCCGTTGGGACTAAAGCCGCAGCATGTAATCGCGCCGTCATGGCCAAAGGCGCCGGTGGCCACCGGCGTGAGGTCCCAGGTCGATTGCGACGACTGAATAAGCTCCAAGCGCCACGGAGCCGGTCCTACGCAAAAAAGAAGAAGATTGATCATCGCAGCCAAGGGCTAAGCGACATACCGGCGCAGCACATGACGACACCGCGCACCGAGACCGCGCCCACGACGCGGTAGGCGCCGCTTGTGAGCGCGTGTCGCGGCAATCGCGCGACGGGTGTCGGCGCAGATGGCGCCCACACGTAGACGCTACAGAGCCTTTCATGTAGAGTACGTTTCGAAAGGCGGTCGGTACCCATCCATGCCAAAGGTGAGAAGGACATCCGCGCTCATGCCGATCGCGCGCACGGCTCCAGTATGGCCATCCAAGACTTGAAGGACCATGCCAGGCGTCTCCTTGAAGCGGCGCGCGCCCATGTACTGTCCGTCGCAAAAGAAGAAGCCTACGTATGCGTCCGACACAACATGACGTGGAGGCACAGGCTACCGTCTTCGCGCAGTGTGTCTTCGCTGGCAATCTTGGCGACACGCTGGAACATCTCGTTGATTGCGCGCTGCTCGTCCGAAGCCTCGAGCGCATCGCGGATGCCAAACCGCTCGGCGAGCCGGGCCTCGACGCGCTGCTTGTGGCGCGACATGCGATCTTGAACGGTCGCGAGCACACTCCGAGGCTTTCCGCTCGCATGACACCCCATGTCCGATGTACAGCCAATACTACCGCGACGACCTCTACACGTGGCGCAGCTTTTGCATGATGCAGCGTGCACCCAGCGACGGCACGCATCCACGGCGGACGCGACAAGCTACGTCGCTCCAGCTGTCATGACTGGACGGTGTACGACGGCAAGGCGACGCATGCATTCAAACACGCGACGTAAGGCTAGCCAGCGCCAAGGCATGGACAAGGCGTCACATGCAATGTCAATCGAACTGCGTTGAACTGTTTGAAGCATTTGAGTTGCAACAGAATGTCCACTTGTGGTGCCATTACGATACTAGTAGCATCGACTGCATATGCGGTGACAGCAGCAGCACTCTGACCAAGGGAATCAGGCTTCAGCAATGCGAGGGCGCTAGCTCAACCCAGGTGGGTGAACATTTAACCAGCGCGGCGAAGGGCATGGCCCGGCATTTGCATGGCCGCTTGATATTCCAAAAATATCCCAGTCGAAGTTCGAAGCCATAACCGTACTTTACGGGGGTTGTGGGCTCGTGGTCTCAGCCGAGTCGAAGCCGCCTCGAAGCGAACTTCGAAAAGTGCAAGTGGTTGCGGATCCAACCGTGCGAGGCCATGGCACGGACCGATGCACCACGAGAGGCGCGCTGGAGCGTACTGCGGCTCATGCCGATGCTGTACGAGAGCATCGCGCTGGGCGGCCGCAACGGCGTCTCGATCCGGGAGCTCTTCGACATGTACGAGCCGACGAAGGACGCTGCCGTCCGCGACGCGTGCTGGTCCATCTTGCGCCAAGGCGCGTTCCAGGACCAGCCGGTCCGGTTCTACCGCATCCAGCCTGTCTCTGCAGCGCCGATCAAGTACGAGGCGGCGACGTCCGGCTCGAAGCGCAAGGCGCCCCCAAAGCCAAAGGCCGCGCCCTCCAAGAAGCGGCGCAAGACAAGCGACAACGACCACAGTGCGTCCGAGTACAGCGGCAGCGCCTCCGACATTGAAGTGGTGGCATCCGCACCCGTAAAGGCGCCCCCGAACCGTAGGGTGCCGCCGCCGCCGGTGCGACAGCCTCCGCCGTTCGAGACGCTGCCCGCCGTCGACGTCCGCGGGCTTGCCTTCACCGACGCCTACGTCGACCCGTCGCTCGTCGCGATTGCCAACGAAGATTTGCGCTTGAAGGCGCTCGGTATCTCGTACGCCGAGTCGGATTTCAACCCCGTGTACGTTGACATCCTCGAGCGCGTGGCCATCACGCGCGAGAAGGGCCTGGCCATCACCGACTTGGCCGGTAGCCTCGCGCAGAGCGACGTCAAGCGCGTCCACCACTTCTTGGACGGCCTCATTGCGCGCAATCTCGTGGTCAAGCGCATCATCTTGGTCGAGAGCAGGCGCTTCAACATGATCCATCTGACGCGTTTCGCCGCGCTGTTTCGACCGAGCATGCTCGCGCCAGGCGCGACGTTGGAAGACGAGCTGTACAACAAGGGCGCGATGGTCACGCGCATGCTGCAGTCGCTCCGCGCGCACAAGGAGTCAACAGCCGTCTTTGCCGACATTGCGAAGCGCTTCAATTGGAGCAAACGCCTCCAAGAGACGATCCGGAACTACATTGTGCAAGAGATGCTGCGCGACGCGGCGTATCCCGTGCAGGTCTTCACGGCCACGTGCCGGTCCAGCCGGCGCTCGTCGGGGCGCAAGCTGTGGTGCGTCAAGGTGTACGAGCCACCGGTGGATGCGCCGGCGAAGCACCGCGCCTCGCACCCGCCGCGCTGCGAGCTTGGGCCGCTCGAGCACATCTATTCGCTCATCGCTGATACGCCCGAAGGCCTCACGATTCCCCAAGTCCGGGATCGGTGCGGCATGTCGGACAAGGTGAGCTACAAGAAGGTCCAGTCGCTCCTCTTGAGCTACAGCTTGGAGACGGAGAAGCTTCTTGTCGGGCGAAGCACCTCGTACCGCTTCCGCGTGCCATCGACGTTGCCTCTCGAGAGCAAGCCTGCACCGGACACCGTCAAGGCTGATTTGAGACGACCGAGCCTTCGGTCGTTCGTGGCGAGCTCGGGCCAGCAGCCGGTGGCCAACGTCATCGATGTCCGCACCGAGTTTGCGCTCTCGGTGGTCACGGAGAAGCAAATCGTGTCGCTCGCGACGTTCCGACGTATGCTCGTCCTCCGCGAACACGAGAATGGGACGGCCAAGACGTCCAAGGGGTTTATTGACCACCGGACGATCACGCGAATCTTCCAAACACTCGTGAAGAAGAAGGCCGTCGTCTTCCTCGACGTGCTCGTGCCGTCCAGCGCGCCGCGCCACCGTCGCAAAGTACGCTGCGTCGCACTCACGAGCGCAGTCGCTGCGCCAGGACAGCCCGCGATCCGCCACTTCATCGAGACGTTTGCGTCCAACGACGTCTCGGACCTTGCGATGCTGCACAACGACGACTCGATGCGCATTGTCGTCCGAGACCCACTCGCCGCGCACAAGGCACCCATGACCAAGACCGTCGTGTACAAGAAGAGCTCGCATCTCTCGACGGAGCGCCAGTCCGTGATCTTGGGCCAGCAAAACCGCCGGCTCGGCATGGCGTTCGGGCTCGCGTGCCGCACCAAGCTGCTCCACCTCGCGATCTGCGAAATCCTCATGTCGCTCGGGCTCTGGGACGCAACGACGCCGTCGCCGATCACGTTTTCGCTGCTGCAAGTCATGTCGCGCATTCCGTTGGCGGATTTTGTCCATATCTTCGGCTGCTGCGAGCGACTGACGACCGCCGAAGAGACGGAGCTGCACCGTGTGCTTCGCTCCGAGTCGCCGGCGTGGCGCGACCTCTCCGAGTCGGTTCTGAGCAAGATCACCAAGAACAAGTGGCGCCGCATTCGGCGGCTCATGGACCACTTGCGGGATCTGCATGTCGTCGTGCAAGAAGCGGCGACCGCCCGCGCGAGCGTCGTGCCCGCAGTTTTTGACGACGTCGACGACATGGTGCTGCAGGCCGCGGAAGACACGATCACGGGCGGGCGCTTTGTGCTGCACCGCGCGCACATGGACGTGCCGGTGACGCACGAGGCCAAGAAACACGACCGCGTCGTGCTCCTCGACGACGCGAGCTTTCTCCGGCCGGTCACGTTTTTCAAGTTTAAACGCGTCGACGAGAACCACAAGCTTCGCGTGCGCCATACGTTCAACTCGCTCGACGACGTCAAAGCGTTCTGGGACATTGTCGAGTGCATCTCGATCGAGCGCACGCGGTTTGAGCTCGTGGGCGAGAACGGCTTTGCGTCGCCCTGCTTTGTGGCGCCGGCCATGTTTGCGAACGCGTCGTATGTGCGCCACGCGTGGATCGACCGCGTCGCGCCCAAGAAGCTGCTCGTGCCGCGCACCAAGCCGGCCGCGACCCGCCAGCGCCGCAACGAGCGCTACTCGAACCACGTCGCGTCGTATGTGCCCAAAAACTCGCACCGGAAGCGGCCGGTCAAGGTCTCGGCCGAGCCGATCCGCATGAAGCTCAAGTACCCGCTCATGGAAGCGACGGAGGAGAAGGCGCTCGTGCTCTACTTTGACGAGCTCCCGAGCACGTGGCAGATTCCGGTGCCGGTCGAGCTCCGCCTTCCGAACGAACCGAAAGCGGTGTTTCGCAACCCGCGCCTCGGTCGCACCAAGATCAACTACAAGGCCATGTGCACCAAGGTGGGCCATGCACGCCCGATGGACCTCAAGCGCCGCATTCAGTCGCTCATGAAAGACCCGGTGCACAAGAAGCGCAAGCGCGACATGGAGGCCGAGATGCTCTCGGCCACGAACCCGTCCGGCCTCTTCCTCGAAGAGATGACGGTGCACCAGTCACCGCGCTTGTACAGCTGCTTTGTCCGCGCCGTCCAAATGATGCTCGAGCCCAACGAGGTGTACAACGCCAAGGTCGCGGACGCGCTGTTTGCCCTCTGGAGCACGACCGAGCTCCAAATGGTGTGGCGGTACCTCTGGTTCAGCCACATGTTTGTCAAGGCGACGCAAAAGGACCTCGGGCACCGCCGGGGGTTCTCGCTCGCGCCGAGCACGTTTGATTTCCTGCGGCTCGCCCCGACGCTGCACCCGATGCCCATGTGTCTCGAGGCCGCGGACGCCGCCGCGTCTCTGAACGGCCTCGATGATGTCGAGGCCGATGTGCCGGCCAACACGGGCGCGGGCCACCTCGCCGTGCTTCTCTCGGGCGCCGTCACGGGTGCCATTTCGCTTTTGCCGTCGTTTGAAGCCGCGTCGGACGTCGAGCTCGTCGAGCCGCCGCGCAAGAAAGGGCACGCCAAGTACTCGGACGGGTTTGTCGGCCACCTCGTGCGGTTTACGAAGGGCCAGTCGCCCGACCTCTTTGATGACAAGTGGAGCGTCACGTCCAAGAGCCGGAGCGAGCACGACGTGTCGGACATTGTGTATGGCGTCGAGGACGACGAGATGGACATGGACGACGACGACATGGACGAGAATGACGAGATGATGGCGTGGGAGTGCCACTGCGCAGTGCGCCACGCCTCCCTGGACGCGTGCCAGACACTCTTTGAGACCAAGTTGCTTCGGCTGCTCACGGAGGCTGGTCCGCTCGGCGTCGCCAGCACGTACCTCTTCAAGCAGTATCGATCGCAATACTCGGCGCCGCAGCTCCTGTCGCGGCTAGCATCGCTCGTCGCCGCCAGCAAGGTCCTCGAAGCGCACTCGTTTGCCGAGCTGCGCTACGTGGCCGCGTCCGAAGCCGCCCTCTGGCAGCTGCGGCCGTACGCGCTCCAAGACGGGACCGTGCGCTTTGACGAGTCCCAGCTGCCGCTGGCGTCGCGGCCGTGGCTGCAGCTCGACGGCAGCGTCAACACGACGTGCCTCCTCGTGCTCAAGCGCGAGGCTGCGATGCTCGCGTGGCGCTTCCCGGGCTTGAGCGAAGCCGAGCTCCAGCGACAGTTCCGGGGGCTCCTCGGCCTCCAAGACACGCGCTGCCTCGCGTTCATGCTCATTGAGGACGGCGTGCTCTCTTGCCGTGCCACGAAACTCAGCACGTCGTCGCTCTTCTCGAGCAGCCTCCCGCCCGCGCCCGTCCGAGGCGAGTACCACATGGACCGGTCCGAGTACGTTCTGCGCTTCTTCCCGACCGTCTCGCTGGTCGAGAACCTCGGGAGCACGATGGACGATCTCTTCCACAACTAAGCTGTATGTGTTTGGCTCTATCCAGTGTGTCGTTCCTATTGCGGTCGAGTGTCTAGGGTAAGAATTGAGTTTGGCAACAATGACAACATACAAAAACGCTGGTGTGACAACCTCGGTGCGTTGGCGAATATTCTTTTTGGGAGGTCAAAAACATGAAACCCTCGCAAATCGCATGCGCACCAAGACCTACAAAGGCTCCTCGTTGGTGATGCGATGCGATCGCAACACAAGTCGATGATGAGGGATAGCTCCTGCGGCACAGATGTTCTTGGAGCCCGACCGCCATAGTCTGCCATCGACAAACAAGGCTCAATACCATAATAGCTGGGAAATCTATACTCTACTACCTAAAGGTAGCTCACGGTTTCGAGCTGCGTAGTACGCATAGGGGTGCCACCCCCGTATGACAATATGTACACTCGAGCTGCCGTCACGTTTCGTCAAACGCTGGGAAGCGAGTCAGCCCGCGATTGATGCCGAGCTGTGATTGGCTGTTTTTTAGCCAATCCGCGGCGCATCTGCTGTCCATTGCCGTTTGTTTTCTTTTGTGGTCGTTTGATCCCGATTCTCGAGCAGCATGGCGGACGACGACGACAACGGGCGCTTGCTGCGGGGCGTCGACATGGGCAGCGGGACGGACGGCGCCGGCTCCATGGAGCACTACGACGACGATGACGACGATGAGATCGAGGACGATATGGATCGCGACGAGAGCATGGAGTCGTCGTCGAGCGAGGTCGAGATGAGCCAGCCGTCCGGCGACGAGTCGGCGGCCGCTGCGTGGAACTGTGCTGCGTGCACGTACGAGAACGCCCGGTCGTCTTCGATCTGCGAGATGTGTGGGACGGCCAAGGTGGCATCCGCCGGTCCGCCTGCATCGACGTCGTCGTCTTGGGCTTGCAGTGCATGCACGTTACTCAACCCACGCGACGCTCAGGTCTGTAGCGTGTGCTCGACGCCGAACCCATCGCACCTCAACTCGCACCGCGGGTTGTCGCTGGCCTCGGCGCTTGGCCTCTTCTCGGACAAGACCAGTCGCAGCGACGCACCGCAGCTCGGCGTCTCGGGCGGGAAGCTCGAAGCGCTGTGTGCGCCGGGCGCGTCCAAGACGGCGCTTATCGACGCGCTCCAATCGATTACACACCATTTGGCCATGATGGATGCGTCGGCCGACACGGACGCCGGGTTTGGCGTCGGCTTGCTCCTCGGGCGCCCCAAGTCACAGCGACTGAAACACGACACCAAGATGACGACTGTGCTCTGCTCGATCCTCAAGCAAGAGTCTCCCTTTGCGCTCGAGTGTCGCCTCTTGGCATGTCAATCGCTCAACTACCTCGTCAAGCTCGACGAGCGCGCGGCCGACGGCAAGGCTGCCGCCGACTGGATGCACATGTACCTCGATGCGATGAACGAGATGGCGTCCTCCCCGAAACAAGACAAAAAGTTGCGGCAGCAGCTTGCGGAAGAGGCGCTCAACGGCCTCGACGTGGTCTGCTCGTCGCACCCGCTGGCCTTTCGCGCGCTCTGCGACCCGCCGTCGCTCATCGCGTACCTCGGGTTTCTGCAGTACGCCGAGACGCTCCACCTTCAAGTGCTCTTGACCTCGCTTGCGATTCTGCACAAGGTGTGCAGCAAGGCCAAGCTACCGGACAAGAAGAAGGCGACGCACGGGAAACATGCGTCGGTACTGCCGCTCGACGCGGTCGTGGCCGCGATCGCCCACGCTCTGCACCACGCCAACCCACGCGTGCAAGTCGCCGCCATCAAGAGCCTCACGACGCTCTACCACCGGTCGCTCTCGCTGCACAAGAGCTTGCATCTCACGATTTCGGACGACTGCCTTCGCCAGCTCCTAGTGATCATGGTGCAGCAGGACGACGGACACGAAGCCAGCCGCGCAGCGGTTGCGCTTTTGACGCACCTCCTCGACGACGCACCGGCGCTCCTTGCGACCATCATCTCGGCGACGGTCGCGACGGACCTCCTCGCGCAGCTCACGGTGGTCCTCAAAACGTCCAAGTCGGAAGCCGTCGTCACGAGCACGCTTCGGTTCCTATCGCACGTGGTTCGGCGCGTCCATGCGCGGGCGTCGGCGCCTCTGGCAGACTTTATGGCCGCGTTTGTGCGTGCAAGTGCGATTCCTGCCGTCCACACGCTCCTTCGGGACGGCGCAAGTCTCACTGGCACTGAAGACTTCGTCTTGCTGGCCGTCGAACATGCGTCGATGGAAATGGTGCGCTTCCTCGTACAAAAGGGCGCCGAAATTTCGCCTGCTGCGATCCACGCGGCGGCGCTGCACCGACGCTGCGACGTGCTCTCGTACTTTTTACAGCACGGCGCCAACCCCAAGCTGCTGGACGGGAACGGACGCAGTGTCGCCGATGCCTTGGTCGCCGCGGGCCACACGGAAGCCACGAATCCGTGCGTCAAGCTCCTCGCGCTGTACGACAGCCAGAAAGACGAGCAGAGCGACGACCCACCGGCGTGGTTTGCCCGTGATTGGATGGTCGATGACGGCGTCGACGAGTCGGAAGCGTCGGAGCGCGAGTTTGACGAGGAAGACGACGACGAAGACGACGACGAAGACGACGACGACGGCGACGACGGCGACGAGGAAAACGAAGACATGGGGCGCGACGAGGTCGTAGTCCACGACCAGTTGATGGAGTCGGGCGACGACCGGGGTCGGTCTCAAAGCGTCGACTCGATCGACAGCGCCGTGCCCGCGGACCTTCCGGACGCCGATGTCGCAGCGTTTACGTCCAAGCTCCTGGCAACGCTCCTCGAGCTCTGCCCGACGATTGACAACAAGGCGATCGCGCAGACGATTCTTGGCGCGGTCTGCACCATCTTGAACACGTCGGTGGAACTCCAGTTTAGTCAAATGACGCGCCTCCTCGAGATTGTCCAGGGCCTGCTCATGGAGCTCCATCAAGCGCGGGATGACGCGGCGTCGGTGGGTCCGTTTGTGCTGGCGCTGCGTCTCTTGCACGCGCTCACGCGTCACAAGCGCACCGATTGGGTCGTGCAAATGGAGCGCCAAGGGATCCTCGCGCTCGTGCTGAGCATCGCGTCGCGCCAAGCGCCAACGTTCGATGCGACGCTCGCAGGCCTCGCCCAAGCGTGGCTCGACGCGCTCTCTACGTGGTTCACGCCCACGACGACCTTGTCAACGACGGCGTCCGATGTGCTCTCGCAGCTCGACGCGGCGTGCGACCGGGGCAGCGTGGCCGACATTTTGCGTCTTCTCGGCGTCGACAACGGCGTCACAACATATGAGTTCACAAAGTCGCGCGTCGTCCCGACGCTCCTCGCGCTGCTTCAGGCGGGCCCCGTGCCGTGGCAGCCGTCGGTTGCGACGCTCGTGCATCATTTGCACCAAGCAATCGGCCTGCATGAAGCGCTGCCGGTCGTGAGCTACGGCCTCGCCAAGGGCAAGGAGCTGTACCCGCTCACGCGCCAGCTCCGATGCCGACTCCGCCTCACGCCAAAGTGCGCGACGTACGCGAGTATGCCGCCGCGAAGCATCCATGCATCACCGCTGACCTTATTCTCGTCGTTTGAGCGCACGGTGTTTCGGTGCGCGACGCTAAACGATCCGAAATGGACGGTCTACGCGTGGAACCTCGTGGGTCAGCGCATTTGGCGGCAAATCGACGGCAAGTGGGTCGAGTGCCACGTCGCGGGCTTTGATCCGGTCCTGGCCTGCCACTTGATCTCTCGCGGCGACGAGTTCACCGAGGAGGTGCTGCACGAAGAGCCATACCGCCTCGTGAAGAAGCCGCTCACCGTGTTTGCCAACGTATCCATGAACGTGGACGCGTTTGGCCACGACCCGAACTTGAAGCGCAAGGCGAAGGACAGCAAGAAGACGGATTCTCGGCGCTCCAAGCGGGCCAAGAAGCGACGAGGTACGTGTGCATGTGCGCGCGTGTCCGGCTCGTCATGAACGCGTCTAGAGTCGGCATCGGAGGAGGAAAACTAGCCGACGACGAGCACGACATGGACGACGATGACGACGACGACGACGAGGGTGGTGACATGCAGGACGATGACGACGACGAGACAGGCAGTGTTCTGGACGTTGACATGGAGCAAGACGCGGCGGCGGCCGATGCGCGCGGGAAGCGGAAGCGGCTCATGGACATTCTCAAGCTCGACCAAGCCGCCACTTCGATGGCCGGTGACCGCGTCTGGTTGCGCTCGTCGCACGCGGAGCTGTGTGTGAGCGCCGTCGTTGTCAAGCGCCTCGAGCACCACCAGCTTTTGGTGCACGCGGTTTTCGGCACGCAGGGAGCGCCCGTGCCGCTGACGGTTGACGAAGCGGCGCTGGTCGCGTACCAGCCGCGAGCGCGCCCGGGATCGGCCGCTTCCAAAGGTATATTTTGATGGCATATAACGATCTAAACCTTGTTTTGTCTAGTCAACCGCATGATGGGTGCGCTCGAATCTCAATTCCGCCAAGGCGGTCGACCCATGATGGAGCAACTGCGCCGGCTTTTGACGCGGTCCCGCGGTGACGACGACGCGTCAACGTCAACGCCACCGCCGGCAACGAAAAAGGCCAAGGGCAAACAACGAGCAGCCTTGACGCCGCCGACGCTGGTCCGTGATGGGGCGACGTGGACGTGTGATGCGCCACCGAAAGTGCGCTGTCTTCTTGGGTACGGCGAGTACTCGGACAAGGGCCACGACGAGGGCATCCCGACACACCCGCTTCAGGGCCTCGTGCTCACGATGAACCAAAAGAGCTTGCTTGACTCGGTGCGGCCCATCTTCACGGCCCTCTTTGAGGCTTTTGCGACTGGCAAGCGCCCCACGTCGCTCCCACCCGCACCCACCAACGTCCACAGCACGTTGACCTTGGGCCTCGATGACTTTGGCGCGTTTGTCAAGGCCGTCAAGCTCGGCCTGCTGGCGTCGGAAGAAGGCATTTGGTTTAGTCAGTATGCGGCCATCGAGCATGCGCGCACCTGCCTCACGCTCCACGGCTTCTTCGACTTTGTCGCGCACTTGTGTCGCGACAGCCGACGCTGCAAGCTCCTCGCAGCCTACCTCGAGAGCATTGGCGTGTCGGAGGCCTCGCTGGTAGCACCGTCGGCGACGGCACCGACGACGCTCATGGCGTTCCAGCCGGAAGACAACTTGCTCCACTGCCTCTCACGCCTCAAGCCATCGAGCGCGGTTTCATCCAACGTGGCGCCGTGGAAGTGCATGTACTCTCTCTACTGCGACTTTGCCGTCTTGTGGGACGACGACGCCGCGTCGGCACCTGTCACAGCGGCTCCGTCGACGCAGCCGACGACGTACCGTGAGGTGGTGGCCCCGACATCGCATGCTACAGCGCAAGACGGCGACGCGTTGCACCAGGCGCTGCGCCTGCTTGCCGTCCTCTACAAGCAGTACGGCAACGACGCAAACGCCGAGATGTGGGTCAACACGCGCTTGTCGCGGAAGCTGCGCCTCCAGCTGCATGACGTGCTGAGCATCACGAGCGGGTCGTACCCGAGTTGGTGCGACGAGCTCACGCGCCAGGTATGTTGTATCGAACGAGGCAGTACTTTTCTCATCGGACGTGTCTCTAGTTTAAGTTTTTGTTTCCGCTCGAGCTCCGGTCGATGCTGTTTCGGACAACTGCGTTTGGCTGTTCACGGTCCCTCCACTGGCTGCGCGACCACTTGGAGCCGTCGACCGAGTCGGACGAGGTGCTCTCGATCTCGCCGCTCCCGAAAGAACGCGCCAAGGTGGAGCGCAGCGACATTCTCAAGTCGGCCGACGCCGTCATGAAGGTCCACGGCAAGCGCAAAGCGATCCTCGACATTGTGTTTGTGGGGGAGCGCGGGTATGGCTCGGGCGTCACGGCGGCCTTTTACTCGGCGGCCGCGCAAGCGTTGCAGTCGAATGCACCTCTGGCGCTCTGGTATCGACATATATATCGGCTACGAGTATCGTAGATTACGTGGCTCATACGACGATCCTAGGGTCCGCGGTGACGAAGACACGTCGGACGATCTGATTCGACACCCGAACGGCCTCTTTCCGCTGCCAACGGTGGCCGCCCGCGGCCGCAGCGAGCTCCTCGACCGCTTCCGCCTCATTGGGTACCCGTCTCGATATATTGATACGGAGCACTCTGAGGCGATTCGATCGGTAGTCGCTTGGCGGGCAAGGCGCTCTTGGACGACCGCCTCTTGCCGTTGCCGCTCGCACCGCACTTTCTGCAACTCGTGCTGCACGAGCCGATCGCAATGCACGATCTCCCAACCATCTTTCTCGAGCCGGGCCGGTGCGTCGCGTGCGCTTTTGTTCATGGCGACTCATACACTTGTAGGATCCTCTACTCGCTCTACAAGGCGGCGCAGGCGCTCCAGACGCACGCCCCCGGCTCTGTGACGATCGAAGGCACGCCGGTTGCAGACTGGCTCGAGGCTGTCGACCTCTCGTTTGTCGACCCGTGCACGCAGACGGAACTCGGTACGACGTGTAGCAGTCTTGATTGCAATTTTGACGCGGGCGGTAGTGGCCAACGGCGCCGTTCTCAGTGTCACGACGGCGAACCTCTCGGCGTACGTGGATCATGTGTTGGACATTTGGCTTGGCCGCGGCATTGCCGGCCAGGTGCAGGCTTTCCGCGACGGACTCAACGACGTGGTTGCGACTGAGAAGCTCCGGCTGCTTCACGCGCACGAGATCCAGGCGGCGCTCTGCGGCACGGTCGACGTCGAGTGGACCGAGGCGTCGTTGCGGCAGACGATCAAGCTCGCGCACGGCTACACGGCTACGAGCGCGCCGATCGAGTACTTTATCCAGACTCTCGTGTCGATGACGACGTCGCAGCGGCGGGCCTTCTTGCTCTACGCGACCGGGTGCCCCAACCTACCGCCCGGCGGTGTTGGCCTCGAGACGCTCAAGCCACCGTTCGAAGTCGTTCGGCGCGTCATCAGTGACGACGAGGACGTGGACCGTGCGCTGCCGTTTGCACGCACGTGCACCAACACGCTGCATTTGCCCGCGTACTCGTCCAAGGCGATCCTGTCGACGCAGCTCGAGTACGCGGTGCTCAACAGCAAGGGCGTCATTGACCGCGACTAGTTTCAATACACGAGAAGTAGTATGTCGGTGGTTGTATATACGGCGTCTTAGCGCTTGGCCTTGATGCCCTTGCCAAACTCGGTCACGCAGTACTTGGCCGGGAGCTTGTAGACCTTGCCGAGGTACGTGACCACGTCGGTTGCAAGGTTGCCCTGGATGTGCACGTCGAGTTCCTTGGCCTTCTCGGACGCAAGCAACGCCGATGCACTACACAATGCAATGGATGATGCGACAATATTCTCCATAAATACCTGCACGCCCACTTTTTCTGTGCGTCGTGGGCCAGCGTCTCGGCGTCAATGCCAAATTGCTACGAAAGCAAACGAGTCCAAAAAGTATCAATGTGTCGAGTCGTACGGCAAAGTTGGAGACGATCGTGACGGGCTTTTGGCGCTTGGAGAGCTCCGTCTTGATGTGGACGGGCTTGAAGTCGCCGACCACCTCCTTCGCATCGTGGTCCGGGTACAAGACCACTGCGTGGTACGCCTACAGCGCGAGATTTGTGAGATCGATCTGCACGAATGCCGCACCCGGAGCCGGTCCAGGAAGAGCGTCAGAATGTCCTTGCGCGGCAGCTTGACCGGGTACCCCGCGTCCTATGCATATAGGTACGCTTGCGATCAACGGCGGTATCAGACGCACGGGCTTCTTCTTGTACAGGGCGTCGGTAAGGTCGGGGTTGAGCTTGACGAACTGCGGCTCGCGCGGGTCCACAAGACCGTGTGCGCTGATGTACGCGTTGAGCTTGTTGCGGAGCTCACTGGCGGAGAAGGTTTCTTTGAGCGACGCATTGTCGCAGACCAACTGCGTCTGCTGTGTGAGCCGATAGAGCTGGAGCACCTCGGGCACATACTGCCCCGGCACAAACGCACCGCCCGTCGCTTCCTACATGCGGCAGTTGCCTCGACGCTGTTGGATAACTGTATGTGATGTACCTCGGCAGCTTGGTCGATCGCGTCTTGTTCGGATCGATGCAACGTGTGCCGCGCCACGTCCCTACAACTCGGTATGAGGACGCGAGATGACGTTCGAGATGCGTACGGGTGGGTCTTGCGGAAGAGCGTGATGGTCTGGACGCCGTCGTGCTCCTTGAGCTCAATGGACCCGTGGTGGGCCATGGCCTTGAGGAAGACAGAGAACTTCTTGTACGACGTGCCCTTGAGGTGGATCGTCGACCCTAGGGGGCGCTGCGGCAACACATGGTTGCCGTAAAACTGGTTGCCAAGCATTGGCGCGTCGCTCGGCTTGATCTTCTTCATCGCTTGGTAGAACGACCGCTCGAGGAGCGAGTCCATCTCGGGCACACTCAAGCTCGTCTCGTCATCGTTGTCGCTACCTTCGTCGACATGCGCTGGCTTGGCTTCGTCGTCGCCCAGACCTTGCACCTCGATCGCGTCAACCGACGTCGGCTGCTCCTCGTTGTCTTCAGAGGTCGGCTCAATGATCGAGTCGGAGAAACCATCCGGAACAAAGCGCTTGTGGGACGGGCCCATTTTGGAAAGCTCGTCGCCATACACGTGGTAGAGCTCCATGGCCTTGCCCTTCCAGCCTTGCGACGCGAGGTGGTCCATGTCGACGACCATGGAGCCGACAGCGAATGGCATCGGGTTGCCACTGATGCAGACGGCGCGGAGCTGGCCCTTCTCGAGCGGCGTCTCGAAGCGGCGGACAACGCCGGGCAGCATCGGGTCGGCGCCGCGCAAGAGGTAGTGGCTCACGGGCGCGTGCACGGTGAGCACGGGCACGCGGCTGCGGAGCTCAGGCTCGTGCCACAGCAGGAACGTCGTCGGCACGACGTCGCCCTTGCCGTGGATGTCAAAGGCGACGACGTTCATGTCGGCGTCCGTGTAGAGCAGCGTGCGCGACGGCGCCGCGAGCTTGACCCGCGCGATGGGCGCCTTCTCCAAGTAGCTCCAGGCGACGTCGCCGTCGATGGCGCAGGCGCGGAGGAGGTCTGCGCGAAGCTTCTTGACGTCCTTGCCCTTGAGGCGTGTGTTGCCACTCAAGTTGAAGGCCTTCGCAAACATGCTCCTCGTTGCTCGTTTGTGCTTGTTGGCCGGCAAACGGAGACAGCGTTTTACTTGTTTAACGTTATTTAACGTGGTGCGTACCCCGGTGTACAGAAAGGCGTACTGCCCAAGCATCTGACAGCACCCCGGGGTATAGTAGCATTGGGCAGGCATGGACGAGCGCATTGATCTCTTCTGGACGACGGCCCAAGGCTTTGTGGACCCGAATAGCAAGCGCTCGAAGTGGAAGTCGGAGGTCGCCAAGCTGCGCAAGTTCTTCTTCCGTAACCAGAGCGCGCGCCTCTCAGAGCTGCCGCAGCAGCGGCTTCTCGACACTGTCCGCCTCTACGTGCAGCTCTTTCCCGCCGAAGAAGACGTGCTCTTGCTCGTGAAGGACGCGCTTGCGATGCCATTTGGCGTCGTTGGCACCAAGCACAAGAAGCGCCTCTTGAAGCTCCACGAGCAGCTCTTGGGCTCGTCGGGCGTTGATGGCGGCGAGCCCGCGCCGGCGCCGATCGAGCGCACGTACAGCTGCGTGGGCATGGACGCCGACGGCTACTTGAGCCTCCTCGACGACGAGTCGGGCGACATGATCGAGTCCCTTCAAGTGCAAAAGAAGACGCCCGAATGGCGCACGATTAAAAAGCACGTCGACGACGGCAACGTGCGCGTCCGCGTCCTCGACGACGAGATCGTTGGCGTCGAGATTGAAGACGACGCCGCGTAAAGCCTCGACCTAGCTTATATCTTGGAGAGAGCGATAGAGTCGTCATCTGGACGAGGTCGTGGACCCGCGTCTTCGACGGACGCCCCACCGGCATGAAATGAACGAGAATGCATATTGTATTGGTCTATTCGCTCGTTGCATTTGGGTCAATGCGAGGGGCGGCCGCAATCGCCTCCATCTCGAGCTCCATTTCGGCCCACTCGCGGTCTTCCTGGGCGAGCGCTTCCGGCGTCGGGCCGGCCTGCGGCGTAATGCCAAAGATTCGAATGATACCATGGCGCAGCGGAGGGAAGACGCGCGTCATCTTGGAGCTGAACTTGTGCAGCGCTTCTTCGTCGGCCACGTTGACGAGCACAGAGAAGAAGACGGTGGAGCCGACGACAGCGAGGATCGTGCCACCTAGCAGCCACGTCGGAACTATCGGTAACCAAAGAATGGGGTACCCAGCAGCGCCTTGACTGCTGCGCCACCCGGTGTGTGAGGCTTATTAAGGCCCAGCGCGCGCTCCCACCATGAGAAGACCTTGGGCTTGGGCGATGCCGGTTCGCCCAACGCAAGCTTCTCGGCAGCTTCCTTGCTCTCGAGAACCGCGAGCTCGGCGGCGTGGATCTTCTGCCGACGGACGCCGAGGTAGAAGCCACCGCCAAAGACGCCCGCGCAGACAGTTCCGGCAACGTACTTCAGGGCGTCGACGTCGCTCGGCGCCTCGACGCTGCTCTCGTTGCTGGTCATGCTGCGACTTGCGGGAAATACTGTGACATTCGATCTTATGATGGTATTGATACTGCAAGGGTTGGATAAACGCACGCAACTTGAAGCTTCTGTTCGTTCCACTTCGGTCGTCGTCCCAGGAAGAGCCCATGGGAAGAGCCCATCGATGCGGCGATGCGTGGTCTGGTGGTTCCAGCGGCAGCAGTAGCATGTTTCTCCGTCGTCCATGCGCATTACGAGGCGTGTTTTTATCCTGCACCAGGCGTGGGAACCATCCAGATTGCAGTTTAAGTCGGCGTTGGCGCATTCCGGGCTTTGACGTCCATAGAGGTTGGAGAGAGGCCGTCGGCGCAAGCTTACCATGCGGTTGAATCGTGCAAAAAGTTGAGTGGGTCTAGTTTATCAGTGTAGTAGTTTGGAGTCTGGCTTCAATTACGGCGCTTGGCCGAGAGCCATCGCGTGCCGAGGCTCGTGGATCGCGTTGTGGCACGTCGCCTTGACGCCTTCAAAGCAGTAGAAGAGAACGGCGTTGGCAGGTACCGCACGCAAGATCGTCGGGAGGAGACCGCGGTAGAAGCCGACGAGGCCGTGCTGCCGAAAGATATCCCGCGCGACGCTCGGAATGTTCATCTTGGCGCACGAGTGCGTCTGGATGTACGACTTGACCGTGTCCGCAGGGTAGAACGCCACGTTGTACGCCATGCCGCTCATGGCGCCCGCCAAAATCACGTCCCACGGCGACTCGTCGTGCTTGCCGCGGCGGAGGTACTAGAAACACGCACCTTTCCAATCACCATGCGGGCAATAAAAGTGCTCATACCTGCAGCGTCGTCTCGTACGTCGTGAACCACGCGGCGGTGCCTGGGACTTCGCGGAGCAGCGTCGAGCCAAAGCCCCGGTCTAATTACGGTCCATGAGCCAAGATAAAAGCACGCAACCATAGAGAACGTACAAAAGACGCCAACGCCTTCGTGTCGAATCGACGACGCGATGCAGTCGCCTGTATTGCGGTACGTGGCCTTGTGACTTAGCGTCGACACTTGCATGCGGCACTTGATGAGCTCGATCGGGTTCAAGAGGAACGAGATGAAGAAGCCCGTGATGCCACCCGCGAGGCCAATCTGGGACGGCCGCAAGTCGTGCGCGTCGGGCCCGTACAAGGCATTCTTGACTTGGCCCATGGTCGTAAACAAGCACGCGCTCTCCATGACCGTGCCGGCGAGGGGCAACGGCAACCCGCGGTACAGCGCGGACGGACCTTCGTTGACGACGAGCGTCTGCACTTGGCGGAGCGCGCTCACGCGGCCAGCCTCCGGACTCGTTTGCAGCTGCACCTGTGCATACATGCATGATGGCATCGTGGAGGGTCGACGGCGACGTACCTTAATCGTGTCGAAAGGAAACTCGACGAACTTGGCGGCAAAGCCGCCGATCGAGCCCGCGACAAAGTCGATGACCGGCGCGTGCCACCACACGGCTGGCGCCGCTTTGTCTCCTGCATGGCGAGCATGAGCGCCCGACGACCTGCCATCCTCGCACGTACCGTGGTTGGTCATCCGGCTTGCCTGGATGGATGTCAACTCGAACGGAAACGGAACCCACTTGAGTTTAAGGCTGCGACATGTGATGACACTTGGTTCTTGTATGTACTGGATCGGCCCGTAGACTGGTTTTCATACGCGACATAGAAAACAAAGGAGTGGCAGTGAGCGCATTTTCTTCTGGCGAAAAATACGCGTTGTAACCGACTTGCCGGAGAAAACCCGGTGGCAGAAGATTGCAACTACAGCTGCCAGACAGGACGCCAGCTCACGACGCCCCGACCACGTCGAAGTGTGGGCTTGTGCTCTCGAAAAGATGACTGTGTCGTCGATGGCTAGCGTCCTGAATGCGGTATCCAGCGTTGTACATGTATTGGCGCTGCACCGTGATCTTGCGGACTGAGCCACCATCGGCGAATCTCGATGCATCTCGCCACCTCGTCACCAGCACTTCGCCGTTGTGGCACGGTAAGGTTCTATACTACAACAGCACGGAATCTTTGGGCTCGACACCATCCGTCCTTGCCGCGATCACGTCTCAAACGTCCTTTTGCGATGCGTTTGACTTCAGCACGAATCCTACCTGGCAGCAGCATCGGAGGGTCGGTCGAGGTGGTCCACGCGCCTTTACTGGGCGCAGCGCAGCTCCAATCCCTCTACGGCCGCAACGGCATTCGAGCGTCTGTGAATGGCCGCTGCACCACATACTGTCGAGTGCGTGCACGGAGGCGCGACCGATACCAAACGCGCACTTGGTGGACACAGTCGTGTCCAACTCTCTGCGAGTTGCATCTGTCACTGACCTCGTGATCGACGAGTGCTGACGGCGCGAGAAGCCACACATTTCACTGATTGCGTCGCTCAACGCCCTTCGTGACAAGCCTGTGTGCATACTATACTATACCTCAATCGT